ACTGTAGTTCTAGCTTGCTTCTTATAGACAAGATGACCAGGCAAGGAAGGATTAGTCACTGGTCATGACTAGGTCAGGGGTCATAAAGTTGCTGTCTTCGAGTCAAGTGATGAGGTCACATGGATCCCTGCGGCTTGACCGGCGTGGTATGGAAAAGCTTTTCCAGGCTTTGGTTTTCTAATCAGTCATGGAGACCAGGGTTGAGTCAGAGCATTGCTGTGGCATCTCCATCCCTCACATTCTCGACTTCCGCCTTCCAGTGCATGGACTCCATGGCAAACTCCTGTAAATACGGAGAGTTCAAAATGAAAATATGTCTTTGCCAAAGGCAAAGTGGTAAAAAGGCCTTGGGCTGGGGTGTGGCTCAGCAACAGAACAATTGCGGACCGTGTGTGAGGCCTTAGGTTCCATTTCAAACACCACACCACACACACACACACACACACACACACACACACACACACACACACACAATAAAGGAACTTGAGTATAGTAATGTTCAAACCACGCCCACCATCTCTGAGCTCTCCATTTTCTCATCTGTTAAACTGAAATGAGAACCCAGCCAATTGCAGGGCTCTTATGAACGAGGGGAGTTAACTCATGCATAGCACCTAAGGACTTGAAAGGGGCAAGCTATTATGGGGCAGCTCATCATTGCCATGCTGGCTGACAACTTTGCAAAGAATTAGAACATTGCAACACACTCTTAAGCACTAACCTGCCTTCCATCACTCAGAAGGACCTTCAAGAAGCTCCAAAATCTTAGGATCATGATCACGAATGTAAAGTAGTTTTGTCAGAAAACATACATCCTGGCTGGCTGAATTGTTTGGTGTTTAAGGTTCAGATTCCATAGGTGCGCTCTGACTTTATTAAACCCTGCTGGAACTAGTTGGCCACACACTTTCAGCCCAATATTTTTACAGATGAAGCTGTTGATCCAGAAAACAACAAAGTGTTCTTTCCAGAATCTCATGCTCACTAGCCACAGACGTGTGACCAGAACCCAGCTTCTGACTCCCGATCAACTTTCCATCACTAGTTTAAGCATAACTCAGAAAGTTGGGCATGGACTGAGGATGCCCTGATGGATGTGGTGGCCATCGTTGAACATGGAATTGAATGTATGTATGGATCATGTATGTATGTATGTATGTATGTATGAATTGAATGTGTGGCTGTATCACTGGAGGGTGTGAGCCCACGAACTTTACTGCCCCTCCTTAGGGAAGAAGGCCTGTAGGATAAGGCCTTCTTATTATTATAAGGCCTGTCTTAATAATTTTCTCATTCATAGCAGTTCGGTTCCGCCATACAAAATTCTCACCAAGTACTCTCCGAAAAGTAATTGATGTGTTAAGAATGCTGGTCATAGTTAAATGGTTTTTGTGGCACATTGGTACACATAGGATAATATCAAAGAGGCTCTCTCTCTCTCTCTCTCTCTCTCTCTCATCTCTCTCTCATCTGTCTGTCTGTCTGTCTCTTTCCCTCTCCCTTCCTCCCTCATTCCTCGTTATTAACATGTAAATTCTTTCTTTGTTGAGCCAAATTGCCAGAACTGACTGGGAAACAAGTCTTACACACCCTTCCCTTCTCAGGCAGCCTTCGTCCCACCCACAGCTGGGACTTGGGCAAGAAGTCAAGAGCCAGTGTCAGCGCTGAGCAGCCTGTGAAAAAAGCACTTTCCTCCCAGACACATCCGATAGTGTCCCACACGCCCCTCCCTCCTCCTCCTAGCCATAAATCTGTCTCCCTGGGATCTGCAGAGGTTTTTTTTTTCTCCCTATCTTCAATCTGCTGATAACTTCCCTCCGCCAAGGATCTCAGTGTTGGGTGGGAAGGAGTCGATTTCCTCAGTCTTTTTGAAAGCCAGTCTTAGTTCTGAGTGTGGATGGAAAATGGCTGGGTAAGAAAGCAGATTCTGGCATCAGAGTCCTTGGATTCAGATCTCAGCTCCACTTGTTGCTAGAATCGTACCGGCATGGGGTGAATCCCTTAAGTGCATCCGGTCTCCATTTCCCATTCGCACCTCCATCAGCGATTGTGCAAGCACACAGTTAAACGGACTACCATTCCTGAAATGCTCTGAACAGTGCTAGGTGTGTAGACATGCATAAATGACTGTTTAGTAAGCTAAATGGCCTCCGTCACACCAGAGTTACCCCAGGTACCAGCCCTATCCCATTACACACGTTAACATATGGAGCTTTAGGGCCCTTGAAGGGAGTGAGTTCTTTTTTTTTTTTTCTGTTAAAATTACAAAGCACATGCTATATCCTAGCTTTTTTATCCCATTGAATTAAAAAAAGAAATAGCAAAGGGACTTAACGTGCAACAAACACTACTGCATAGCAAGCCTGTCTCTGGCTCAGTGAGCTGTCCACCTTCTCCTCACGCTAATGGAAGTGCAGTGAGGCTGATCGATTTCCTGAGTGTCCTCCAAGCAGGTTGCTGGCGGCATCAGGGTCACTGTTGTCTAGCGGCCAAGTGCTCTCTGTAACCTGCCCTCCAGCTGTCCACGTGCCCAGCGCCTCCGTGTGGGCTCCTGGGGAGGGGGTTTCCAAGCTCTGTGGCCTTGGTTGCTTCAAGGCTGAGCTGTGGGAGAGATTAATGGGAAGTGAGAAGAGAAACTGTTATTCTTGCCCAGCAGTGTTGTTGGGAGTGTGTGACTCGTTTTGTATTTAGGGAAAAGATTACTCATGAGGATTTTCTTCCATAGAGAATAAAGAACCTCAAATTGCTGCTTGTGGCCCCCGCCCCCTTCTCACCCACCTCTCTGTTTCAGTTTGTCCTCAGTAGCAACATCAGCATTTTGCTTTCATTTCCCCTCTTTAGGTAGGCTTTGGTTCTCTATTTACTTAGACATCCCAACAAGCTGCCCAAGCCCCGGTTCCCTGCGTCACCCTAAAAGCCCTCCAGCCACTAGGTGCTTTCCTATGGCCAGCCTGATTGGAACCTCCACCCATCCCCTCCCACTTTCCAGTATGTCTGAAGTCACAAATTGGCCTGCTGTTCTTGTTCAAAGTGGGCACCATTGACAGTAGGAAGTGAAGTTGAAGGTTTTCCCAGGATAGCCTCTTCTAAGAAGAGGTGGACCCTTTCTGTGTCCAGAAATCATTTTGAATAGGCATTGCTTTCTGACCAATCAAGAACCAAAAACAAAACCTCAAATCCTTTAGTGGTCCTGTTTGCTTCTAAAGGTCAAAAAGCAATCACATATTACAGTAGCTACCTCTTAATGCTACTTGTTTGATCCACATGAAAAACATTGCCGTAAAATTTAAAAGCCAAGAAAACACACTCAAATTCTTGGAGTTTGGATTGGATTGGTGGTTTTGATTTTTAGGCCTTACGCATACTACCACTGAACAATAACCCCAGTCCTCTTTGGACTTGAGATGAGATCTCACTGAGTTGCCAGACTGGCCTTGAACTCACTCTGTAGCCCAGGCAGCCACTTGTGGCCCTGCATTTCTTTCCAAGTAGCTGTGTTACCAGGCCCAGCCAATTGACTGGTTGTAAGGAGTTTTCCGGGAACTTCCGTTCTCCAAAGCCATCTTGGAAGGTGGAGCCAGCCATCATGGTCAGAGCCTGGAAGACTCTGAGAAGACTTTCTGGAATCTGATCTATTTGTCCCGCAGTCTCAGCAGCCTGGGCATCCAAGGGATCAGACAGTAGTAGTTCATCATGCCCAGTTTAGGGGGAAAAGTGGTTTGTTCCAGGATTAAGCTGAAGGGCACATTTTTAAGGCATGCGCCGTAGCTCTGCATGGACACTGGTCCCACTGAGCTCTCGTTGAACTTTTGATTCTGTGATTTTGGAAGATAAAGCTCTGCAGCCCTTGCACTGTCAGGATTCAAGTTCTAAATAATTATCAAAGACTCTTCTTCCCAACTCCCCACCCCGCCCCCTACGCAAGAGGTTTTGCTCTCATGACTTACAGCAACACTTACCATATTATAAGCTATTTTTTAAACTATTTACTAACTTACCGAACAGCAGACTAGGCATATATTGATATGTATTCAAAGAATATATTTTAAAAGACATATGCAAACAACAGTAGTGTTACATGCTTTCACAAACCTCGTCAGTGTCCAGGTTAATAGAAGACCGCTGGACTCCCATCTCTGTATGCAGCCTGGTGTGATACCACAGGTCATGTAGCTCCTAGAACATTCCCCATGTGCTCAGGAAAGGATGAGAGTAAAAAGAGAAAATCATGTTACTATTGTTCTGAAAAGCGTGTTTGCTGCACAGACACTGTGCAAGGGTTTTGGGAGTCCAGAGGGTTCCCAAGGGTCCCACTTTGAGAACTATTGTTCTAATCACTGGAAGGATTTGTCAAAGTTTCCCGTAGCAGCAAAATGAACTAAAAACACAGACTCCCTGCCTCCCAGAGATACAACCTGAACCACCCCGTTGGTGACATCTGACCCACTTCCAGTCCATCAGCAAGACAAATAGTGAGTCAAAGGACCTTCTGTGTTACTCTGGCTTTGCGTTCGCCAGAGGCCAGCCTGCCGCTTCCCAGAGGCTGAGTAGATGACTATTCCTGGAAAAGGTTTTAGGGGACACTTCATCTTTGGCAGCTCTGGGGGTCAAGACCAGCTCTGGAACACTTCCATTTCAGAGGGCGCTGGGCCACAATCACATCAGCTCGGAGTCTAAATACATTGAGATGTGTCGTGCTTCCAGTCCTACGCCGCCGCGTTAGCGCCAACTTGACCTTAGTGCAGCCCCAGGGACAGACTCTTAAGAAGATCTGTCATCCCTGAAACACGTAGAAAGGGGTTCCCCTCTTCTTCCTCTAAGTAAAACGTTAATGTGACCCACGCTTAAGTTCTTACAAGCCTGGGCCTTGGAACTCAACCGAAGGCTCTGGAGACATAAAGTCTCGGTTCTGTTTATTATTCCAAGACTGTCCCCTCCCCCTTTGTCCCACCTGTGTAGCTGACAAGCTCTTTTCTCTCCGCCTTATGCTCTCCCAACAGGCTTGCAGCCGATTTACTGGAGCAGAGATGACGTAGCCCAGTGGCTCAAGTGGGCGGAAAACGAGTTTTCTTTGAGGCCCATCGAGAGCAACACGTTCGAAATGAACGGCAAGGCGCTCCTGCTGCTGACCAAAGAGGATTTCCGCTACCGATCTCCTCATTCAGGTGAGAGTCTGGTTCGTGTATGGGCTCAGCATGAAAATATGGCCTGTGGTTGGTCCTTCCCAAACTCGTCCTGAGCCCGTACTCACCACAGAAGGTCTCCATGACTACTTATGAAAAAGGAGATTTACTGGCATTGGCCAGTGTGTGGGGAGGAGGAAGTTTCCAGATCAAAGAGACTGTTAAGTCGGAAGTAATTCACCTATGACTCGATGCCGGAACTTTAAGGGGTCTAGGGTCCCATCAAATAGAGAAGAAAAGCTCTGTTCCTCCCCTTTTATCTGCCTTGCCCCGATCCTAAAGACTTTAGAAGAGATGGCTAAGAGCACATGTGCTGTGAGCCACTCGGTTAAAAACATAGGTATGTGTTAAAGACATGGTTAAAGACCCAGGCATGGCGGTGCACACCTGTAATCCCAGCATCCAGGAGGTTAAGGCAGGAGGGTCATGAATTGAAAGCCAGCCTGGGCTGCCTAAGACCCTATGTAAAACAACAACCGTCAAGTAATAAAGGAAGAGTTTGAGCATTGCTGATACCTTCACACAATCACGTTATCTAGTCCTTGAGCAGTTAAAGAGTTGCCCCGTTGAATGGATCTGGGGTGATTAAAATGCGGAGACGTGTTTGATTATTAGACTCAGAGAGACCCAATTAATAAAGGAGAACAGACAGGTTTCACTTTGTGTTCGCTCTTATTTAGAGTTACTGCTCGCATAGCATTCAGGCAGAAGAGATTTATATGTCCATTATTTTATATGAACAAACTCTCTCAAGTCTCTATCGACTTAATTCATATTATGCTCTCCATCCCTGTTTAAAAAATAAAAAGAAACTCACTTTCAAGGTTCCTTTAATTCAGTTAAAAAAAAAAAAAAGACATTGGCAAACCAGGCATCATGGTGTGGACTGCAATCCTAGAACACAGAAGCCTGAGGCAGGGGGATCATGAGTAGGAGACCAGCCTGAAATACATATTGAGACACACTGTCTCCAAGACTCTGTGTGTGTGTGTGTGTGTGTGTGTGTGTGTGTGTGTGTGTGTGTGTGTGTGTGTTGGGAGCACTTTAGAAGGCGGGGTCCATTTGGGTGAGGTAGATCACTGAAATACCTGATCTGAAATGGATTACCTTTCCCCATAGTAAATGAAATGTTTGTAGTTCAGCATAGCCACCAAAATAGACTAAGTAGAGTGCTTGGGAACCAGAGCCAATCGAAGTTCCTAACTCACGCTGTCACACTGTCCCATCACAGTAATGGGCGTGTGGGGGGTCCTCTACCCCCAGGCATGTGACCCTGCTTTTTTTACCGCTGAATTCACCATGGGACTCTGAGGGTGAACTGCGGGCTCCGTTCTTAACCCAGCCACAGGCAGAAAGGACCTAGCAGAGACTCCCTTGACAAGCTGAACACTTAGGCCTCCCACACCAGGCATGCTTTTACTGACTTCGTTTTCTCTCTTTTATAATTGGTCAAAAGGAAACCCACATTTCTGAGTCAAAATGAAACAGAGGAGAGAACTGTTTGCAAACTGGGGAGTGTGTTACTTGAGATGATAATCTGCTTGTCAAGAGTGTGCGCATAGCCCATCATCACCTGAAAAGTCCACGCTTTAACAGTGTCAGGGTTCCAGTGTCAACTCGCTGACACAGAGAAGGGAGAAGCCGCGGAGCCACAGAAGAGACTCTCAAGTAGCAGATGGCGTTTAGGCAGTGGCCCTCTAGCCCTAGCCCTTGGAACACCAGCAGTGCATAATAGAGCGTTAGAGCTAATCACAGCCTTTCACTTGTAATTCCATTCCTAAAAAAAAAAAAATATCCCAAGGAAATTATCCAGTAGTGGACAAAGAAAAATGTCCTTAGCGAGTCTATTTATAACCCTGTAAACTGGAAATACCCCGACCACCCCCAGGATGAAACTAGCTAGGCAAACTTGGAATGATCAATATAATACTCCATAGCTCAGCAGCTACCTGTTTACTTGTCCTCTCGGTTATTACTCCTTCATCACATCATTCAGGGCCCTGCACATACTATTCAGGAGCTGAAGCAGAGGGTTGGCAAGAAGCAGACGTGCAGTGTGGAGGTGGGGCAGTATGGCTGGAGTCTTGAAACGGTGGTGGTGATTAGAACCAAGGCAGGACAAGAGAGAAGGGGACAATCCCAAGAGTATTTAGCAGACGGACTCTGCAGACTTGTTGACTGATTGGGTGTTTGATGAGGAGGAGGGGAGAGATTGAAGGATTATCCCCCAGTTTCTGACCTGATGAGGTAACAGCATTTACTGAACTAGGGAACCCCTTCTGGTTTGCAAAGATTTCTGTGTTGGACACATTGTCCATAAATCATTCAAGAGGAACTTCCCTAGGAGATAAGTAAATGCAGTCCTGGTAGTCAGAAAGCATTGTGACAAGTGGAGTGACGTTGTGGGAGCAGATGCAGTGGTCCAAGAGAGACTGCTGGGAAACCCGATATTGATGGGCTAGGGGAAGAGGAGCTGGGAGGTGGGAAAAAAGCCAGAACAGCAGTCTAGGCAGCCAGGAAACGTCCTAGGAGGGGCAGGTTATGATTCCTGGCAGTGAATGCCACCAAGGTGGGACTGTTCCCCCCAGTACCACAACTGCCCTTTGATTTGACACTGGGGAGGTGACCTCAGCTAGAGCAATGTGGGGAAGGCTTCCCTTGCAGGAAAAACCAGAAAGCTAAGAGAAGAAGTAGAGATAACAGAACTAATGACTTCTGGGGATGGTTGACGCCAGGTGAGGAAGGGCTGGATCAGGACTGGGAGGAAAGATGAGGACGAAAGGATGAGGGGGGGGGGGCTACGGGGAAACCTTGAACCCCAAGATTCTAAGATGATTCTGACTGTAAACTAGAAAGTTCTGTATGGAATTATCCCAACAGAAGGAACAAGAAATTTTCACACACAAAAGAAGCATAATGAAGCTGTGTCTGTGCTTTAATGCAGTATTGAGAAGATATGACCTGGAGCTAATAAAAGCCATGCCCACAAGGGATGCCTCCTAGTAGATGTGTATTCTGTGAGGCCAGTGTTTGGTGCCCGTCTCCTTTCTCCTGCCAGGTCCGTGGCATTATTCTCATTGTGCACAAAAGCAGAGGCAAGTGTAACTAAGTCATAAACTAAGAGTCCGAGAGGGAGAATAATTTGCCTAGACAACAGCTTCAGTCTGAAGTCCAGGCATCAGACTTGGGCTGGCCTTGCTCTGGAGCCCAAATTCTGTTCTCTAAAAGTAAAATAAATAATTTTCACACCACCCACCACCCCACCACCACCCATCACCCCACCTCCGCTTATAGTAGGGTCTCTGAGTTCTTGATCTTCAAACACTGACAGGACTACCAGGCTGGTGCTTTTCACTGTCTCTTTTGTTTTAAACAACCACCTCATCCCCCACCAAGGATTGGACAGAGAGCCTCACGTGCTGATATCCAACCTTATTTACCTTTACCCCTTACACCCTCCCCCTTCCGCCCACCCCTTATGCTCCCTGCCACCTCCCCCCCCCCACTTGCTTCCTTGTTTGACAGAGGTCATGCTGGGTTACCCAGGTGGATCTTGAATTTGCAATCCTCCACCTCAGCCCTCTGAGTAGTCAGGATTATCCGGCCCAGCTTTTGAGAGAAATTCCAATAAGATAATAGAATTTGGAGCTAGAGAGCTAGCTCAGTGGGTGTTTGTGAGCCTGAGAATCTGAATTCAAATTCTCAGCACTCACATAAAAAGCTGAGCACAGCTGTGTGTGTCTGAAGCCCCAGCACCGACAGAGTGGCAGGCATGTCCTAAGAATTCACTGACTGTCTGACCTAGTCAGATGGTGGATTTCCAGTGTACTGAGAGACCATGCAAGACAGAGATGATGGAGAAGACACCAAAGTCCCTTCTGGCTTCCACATACATGTACCTGTGCAGTTGAGTGCATACACCCCATCACACACACACACACACACACACACACACACACACACACACACACAAACACCAAGGGGGGGGGAGTAGGATTTAAGATTTCAAAATAGGTTGCCTGGCTTTCAAAATACATGTCAGAATACACGTGTTGAAGCTGTTTGTTTCAGTGTGCATATGTGACCCAGAATAATGTATCAGTATCAGGACATAAAGCTGGAAGGTACAGACATTTTCAGTTTCCAGCTCTGCCTCCAGGGAAGATGTAAGTAAAGGTCCCATTGTCATGGTAGATTCACCTCTGTGGAGTGTTGTGTGCCTGAGCTGAGTGCATCTGCATGCAGATATATGGACAGACCAGCTGTTGGCTCCACAACCAGAGGCCTGGGTTTCATTGCCTAGTACTGTAAGGCACTAGTTGGGACCAGTTTTTCCTCTTTTGAGAATATGGAGATTTGCTAAGTTAGGCACACTGTTGAGCTCTATGAATATGGAGATTTGCTAAGTTAGGCACACTGTTGAGCTCCATGGCTCAAGCTTTGCTTTCAGTAGGAAACTAGACAACTTGTTCCAAATACCTTCTGTCTTCCAGAGATCTGTTAATGTTAGCTTGGTTTTTGTGAAGCGGTGTTGAAGGTCCTTTAGTACAGGCTTACTCACAAGGGTTAAGAGAGATGCTTGGAAGAAAGTAAGGCACAATGTGGGACTTCTCAAAGAAGAGTCACCCAAAGCAAAACATGTCCAAGTGTGTGCAGGCCTTTGAAGGGCGAGTCGCCAGTTTCACATTTTAAATATGATGTCCTGGGCTGGCATGATGGCTCAGCAAATGAAGGTGGTTGCCTCCAAGTCTGGTGATCTGACTTTGGTCCTAGACACTTACTGGAAGAAGAGAACCGACTCGCACAAACTGTCCTCTGAATATCATGTGTATGCTTTGTTGTGTGCCTCTGTACACACATACACATAAACACATTATTATTATTATTATTATTATTATTATTATTATTATTATTATTATTAAGAAAAGACAAATGAGTTTATCTGCACATTTAAGGATTTGAAGAATATGTCCCCTGAACAGGTAGGTATTAGAGGGGCCAGAGGGTAGTAGACATGGAGGGAGGTGCAGGGCCATCTTCATTTATTTAGGAAGTTGTAGCAATTTTGTAGGCAAGAAATGTTTTTGAACACTCTAGAAGCCAAGATTGAATTTCAAGAAAGTCAGATTCCAACTCAACAGAACTTTTTACCAACTAGAGTCATCAAAAAAATGGTTTTCTTATGCCAGGGCTGGCTGTCCACCATAGGACTTACTCCGCCAAGGCCATTTCTTGGCAGGGGAAGGGGAGCAAGGGGACTCCTAGAGAGCAGAAGTTTGAGCCAATCTAAGACATTTCTAGAATCCTTAAAACCTAATATCCCCAGTTGTTACAGGTACATTGAGCTACTGAGTGTTACACACGGTGCCTGTACAATACACTGCCTCCTGCATAGCTGATCCAACCATTTCTCTGGTTGCTGAGGAGCCATGTCTGATCCAGCTGTGCCCACATGCAAGGGTCATAAAGTTAAGTTCTCCTGGCAGAGTTAGGACTCAGGCTTCCATACTGTTAACCAGTCCCGTGAAAGGCATTTCCATGGATATCATCAGGTAAGGCTCCGGCAGAGGCTGCTTGATGCACCCTCCCTAGGCTTTCTTCTGTGGGAAAGCCCCTCTATACAGCTCCTTCCCTACCAGCTGTTGGTGAAACACACTAAGACATGAAGGCAGAGCACATGTCAGCAACCCAGGGTTTAGCCCAGTGTGGCCGGATGAGGTACTGGGGGAGAGAGGCCTTGGTTCACCTTCTTTGCCATTTTCTCAAAGGGGAATGTAAAACCCAGACCTTGCTCCTCAGCTCTCCATGTGGGACCTGACTTTCCTGGGCTACTTGGATGATGTCAGTGAGCAGGATGGTAGCCTGATGGTAGAGCCGGTGCCGGCTGTAGCCGGTGCTGAGGAGCTCTTACTATGTAGCATGTGCTCATCCTGTTATGTGGACCAAGTCAAGGCATCCTCGGTATTCTACACAGTGATTGGAGTCTGAATGAGGAAGCCCAGGCCTGAGGCAGTTAAAGGGCATGTTGAAGGAAGTAGCTGTCAGGTCCCAAGGCAACATCTAGCCATTCCGCCGTAGAGAAATGTAACTCCAGGGACCCCCCCCCAGATGGTTCATGGGGTGAGCTCATTTGCTGTGAGCGCCTTGTGACCTGAGTTTGATGCCTGGAACACAAGTTATGGTGGAAGGACAGAACCTGCTCTCCAGGATGCCCTCTGACCTCCACACCTGCACTGTGACATTCACACACATGAACATGCACACACACAGTAACAATGAATCATTTTGTGTGTGTATGTGTGTGTGTTGTTTTTTAAGACAGGGCTTTTCTCTGTAGCTTTGGAATCTGTCCTAGAACTCGCTCTGTAGACCAGGCTAGCCTTGAACTCACAGAGATCCACCTGCCTCTACCTCTCAAGTGCCAGGATTAAAGGCATGTGTGCCACCACTGCCCAGTGTAAATAGAATATTTTTTTTAAAGAAATAAGAACTCAGAAAAGAAAGTGGCTTTGTCCTCCTGGCCCTTGTTTTAGTCCCCTCACCAGCCTGAGGAGGTGTGGGCACACCAGCTCTGTTCCAAGTCCTTTTTTACATTACTGTCCTTGACCCTTTATGATGAGGAAAAGAGGCAGGTGCTACAGTGTGCATTTTGCAGAGACACCCAGGGACTTGCTCAAGGTGACCTGGTACCCAGGCTGACTGCGTCTGCAGTCTGTGCCCCTCGCTGAGGGAATAACACTGAACACCCTTCACAGACACTAAATTTGTATTTCCTGGCCTCCCCTTCCAAAATGGATACAGTAATTGCAGACTTTTTTTTTTTAATAGTAATCATCAAGAACACATTTCTTTAATGTTTGCATTTTCTATTCTGCATAATGCCAAAATAAAACATTGATCAAATCCACAAGCTCAAACCCAGTATGGCCATGTAAATTAGGAAGGGTTAGGAAGACATTACACTAAACGGAAAGAAAAAAGTGTTGATTAGGGACTTATTTTTGTATGAGATTAAAATGTGAATCGTTAAAATAGGACTATATTTTGGGTTCTGCATTCCCTTCTCATCGGAGCCACAGCAGTGGCTCCTGGTTTGGAGCACTGAAACCCTTCGCAGCTCTGAAACCTGGTACCCAGTACAGGTTCTGCTTTGCCACATCATTTCCAAAAGTGTGGGCAGAGCTCCTCTGTGTCCGCCTGCCTGTCCTATCTTAAGAAAACCCCCCTTGAGACTGGGGTCTTCGGCTTTATTTATTCCTAATTGTAAATGGCAGCAGTTAACTACCCCACCAGTAACCAAAATTCAAAGATGGGGGGGGGTGGAATGAGTAGCAGCTAGCTAGGGAAGTTCCTTGGGGTGTAAGGGGTGGGTACCTGGAAAAGGGCAACCACCTATAGAACTCGATTTGGTACAGGGGGAGGCAGTAGATAGGTCTGGAGGAAGAAACCACTCATGAAGTGTTTCTGCATTCATGCTTGGTTTGGAAGAAAAAAATAGCAGTATCTGTAGCCCAAAATACACAGTTAAATTAAGTTGTTAATTAGAACATCTTCAAAAATGGCTAAGATCAGAGACAAAGGCCCATTGTTTGGTACAATTATTGACTGCATATCTCTGTGTTAGGAAGAATGTGGGGAGGACAGTACGGCCTGTGGTGTTTTTTAAAAATTAATCACCCATCCTTATAGAGTTTCCCCTACATTGTGAACTTGGATCAAAGCCAGAGAGGGGTGGAACCAGTTTGTGGTAGGGTGTGTGTGTGTGTGTGTGTGTGTGTGTGTGTGTGTGTGTGTGTCTAATGATCTACTCAGTACACACTTCAATACCAAGTTACAGCACCCACCATTCCTCTCCCCCCCCCACCCGAGCACTGACATGTTGAGATAATTTTGTGGAGCTTGTAGGACCTTGGGGTGATGCCTAGATGTATTTTTAAAGAAAGCACAACCCCGCACTGTCCCAGCTCTTTATAGAGAATGGCCCCTTCTGACCAACACTAATGAAGTTGGTTATTTTTTAACACCTCCAACCCCAGCCCGGGCTCTGAGTGAGTTAGAAAGATGGATTCTCCCCAGAAGTTGTCGTCATTGTCTTCGTTGTTGCTGTTGTTGTTGTATGAGGTAGGATCTTACTCTGTAGCCCAGGCTGGCTTCAAATTTTCCATCTTCAGCCTCCTACCACGCCATCTAGCTGACAGGTAAAATTTTTATCAAGAATTTGTGAGGTAAAAATTCTATGAAGAATCCAAGAGTTGTTTTGCACATTTAAAATGTAACTACCAAAAGATGTCATTTTCTTTGAATAAGTCTGAAGTGCAAGCAGAGAGAGATGTTAAAAGAGTATATCCACAAAAATAGGAAGACATTGAAACAGCTTGAATCTCCCCCAGCTCTGGGATCATCCTCTGATGGGCTCTCTAACGTCAAACAGCAGGTCACTCCAGTATCAATCATTTCAGCAGCTTAAAGCATCAGTACCATGGGGACATCTTCAAAACCGAATGTAGTTGTGGGCCCTTTGCTCGTACCAAGCTAATCCATGAGTCCCCCTCTGGAGGATCTATAGTGTTAGCCCATCTGTTGTCTAGATGCTTTTTTATTTAGACTGGGTATGTTTGACATTAAACAATTTATATTATTTAAGGGGGAGTAGGCAAGGAAAGTGCCCATTGAGTGGAGTATATGTCACAAAAGCATGACAGCTTGCTTGAGTTTGATTCTAGGGACACACATAAAGTAGAAGGAAAAGCCAGCTGCACAGAGTTGACCTCTGACCCCCCCACACACATACACATCGTTTTACCTTAGGTGTATTGAATGTATGTGTGTATACTACATCTGTGCCTAGTGCCCACAGAGGTCAAAAGAGGGTGCCAGATCCCTGAAACTGGAGTTACAGATGGTTGTGAACCACATAGGTGCTGGGAACTGAACCCTGGTCCTCTAAAAGAGCAACAAGTGCTCTTAACCACTGATCCATCTCTCCAGTCCCCAAACTTTAGTATATTACCCTTCTTTTACTTGTTGTTATTGTTGTTTGAGACAGGGTCTCAGGTAGCCCCGGCTATCCTCAGGATGGTCAGAAGCTCCTGCTGCTCCTGCCTCTACCTCCCAAGTGCTGGGATCACAGGTGTGCACCACAATGACCTGCTCTTATTTTCAGCGTGTAGAAACAACCTTGTTGAGAGCTGGTGAACCTACGAGAGCTATAGAAAGTATATAATTTGATCAGTTTGGAGATACCTATATGTCCGTGAGATCATCACTATAGTAAATGTGATGTCCATATCCACCACCTCAGAATTTTCTCTTGTCATCTTTATTATTATGGGTGTAGTTACGAGAACGTTTTCCCCAGCACCCACCCACTTAGCAAGCTGTAAGTTTGCTAAGTGTACCATATAGCATCACTTACTTGACAGCCTCCTCTGCAGGTACCCACATGGCACAAGCACATATACATAAATCAAACTTAACCTAAATCACATAATAGTAATTTTTAAGAACCACACAGCCCTGACATTTGAGTCGGATGTTGTGCCCGTCCGTGTCTGCTCTGTGAGGTAACATCCTTTCCTTACCTCTGCTATTGTCACAGCTCCGTGGCTCCTTCGGTAGCCTAACTAAAGCATCCCATCTCCATCTCTTGTTCCCTTTCCCCCCAGGCGATGTGCTCTATGAGCTCCTCCAGCACATTCTGAAGCAGAGGAAACCCCGCCTTCTCTTCTCACCTTTCTTCCACCCTGGGAACTCTATCCACACGAAGCCGGAGGTCCTACTGCATCAGAACCATGAAGAAGGTACTGGATCGCGCTTCTCTTTGCTTGCCTGTGGTTTAGACAAACCAAGGGGTTGAGTGGTTAGCTGCTAAGGTGTTCTTATCGCTGTAAGTTCATTCTTCATTCAGGAACCATGGATTGAGTGCCTACCGTGCGCATACACTGGGGGAGTCGCCTGGATTAGTAAGGCATCACACATTGGCTCTCTGGAGTTCACAGTCAGCAGTATGAACACGGATTACAGTAACATACACAGGGGTGTAGAGTGAGGAAAGATGATGCCAGGTACAGGAAGCAGGTTCACCTTTATCAAAGGAGGAGACTAGAGGAGTCTTTGAAGGCTCTGATACACTGCAAGAATCTTCCAGTTAGGTAGGGGTAAGGCCTTGGGATAGAGAGAGATCTATAGAGAGCTTGACTGGTGAACATCATAAAAATGTTCAAATATATGTAATCCATATAGAATAAGATAAATAAAGCCATGTGAGCCATCTATCACCCCACTTCAGCAATGATGAACATTTTCTACCACAGAACTAATCCAAGGAGGTTAGCCCAGAATCAGAACGTGGAGAATTGAGATTCTGTGGGTGTAGAGAGAAGTAGCGGCAAATTATATGCTTCAGCTGGGTACTCATAAAAGCTGAAGGAAGGACGAAAACCAATCTAGGGGATGTTGGCGTTGGTTAGGGGCTTTCTCCATCATGGATCAGAGACGGTTGGCTGGGGTGAGCTCAGTATCAAGACTTCTGTCATAGTTGCTGTTCCTTGTGGGGACCATGGAGTGTGTGGTCCTGGGCAAGCGATTGTTGGATGCAGGGCTATGAAATGTGATTTTTGTGCCCAATGTGATGACATTTGAGCAGAATCACGTCTCCCAAGGCCATCAAGTCCTCCCTCCCTCCCTCCCAGTGGAGCAGGCAGCCAGTATGCAGATGTGTGAACTCCATAGTGTGAGACTTTTCCACACATATTTTCTTTGAAGCCAATTTCAGGGTCCTATTCCTCAGGAAGTTTTGTTGGCTAGTGAATCATTCCCAAACACAGGACTGCTACTTTTCTTTTTCGGTCAGACAGTTAAAAACTTGGGCTTGGTATTCTCTTAATTAGCACTTGTGACAAAAAAGAACCTGACCGGGGAGTGGGGGGGGGGGGGTCTCAGCAGGTCCTCTCCAGCAGGAGATAGAGAATAGGCAGTGTTTCTGGCAGGCTCCCACCCACTCTCAGCCTCTCCTCTCCTCCAGTAACCCTGGCTAAATTTAGCAACGATCCCTTCCCCTCAATTCGGGTTTGATGTTCCCCTGCTCTTCTGTCCTTTCTCATTTCCGGCTTGCATAATAGCCAAGAGCCACTCGAGGGAAGAGGAGGTGGGCTCACTGAAGCTTGACAGTAAGGCAGGCATTGTGTTATCTCAGCCTGGCTTTTCAGACACACGGGGTATGGGTTGGGTTCCCCCTCCTTCTTTCTCTTACTATTGAAAAATATTTATTTTCGTTTGGAATTTTATTCCCAAATGTGGTTGAAGGCATGTGGTTCCTTCCTACTTGGTATGATTTTATTTGGAAGTAGGTGGGGAGGGGGCAGGGGGAGTGTTGTTCTTCTGTGCAGGGGCTAATCCTTCCTAGACAAAGCTGACCCACTCTGAGAGCTACCCACAAACCAAGGAAACGTAGGTGTGTCCCATCACGCACCCAAATGATCTGTGCTTGCATGCACTGTGAGGTCAGTGGTGAACTCAGCCACTAAGAGAACGAGCTAATGAGGCCAAGGTCAAGGGCTTCGTGGCCCTGCAGATCAGGTGGATACACTTTAGAATCAGCCCTTAAAAGTCCCAAGGGCATCTACAGAGACCATTCCTTGGTGCTAGCGGTCGGAAAGCAAGCTCTGAGGACTTCTTCGCTTCCCCTTTGTCTGTTCGGACGCCATGCCAAATCTCAGATGAACAGGGGACCCTATCTCCCAGGTAGTGTCAACAGAAAAACCATTTGAGACCCAGGAGTGAGAGGAAGAAGCTACCTCCTGTTTTATACTTTCAAAATGGTGGCTTTCTCACCCCACCTCCAGCCCCTTTCGGTCCTCAAAAAAAAAAAAAAAAAAAAAACAGGCAAGTTCAGCATGCAGTGTCTCAAGAAGTAATACACCGCTATTGGGAAGGCACTGGGTCAGCGAATGGCAGGTGAGGATAGAGCGATATATGCTAAGAATATGGGGAGAGCTGGTCTCAAAGAATTTCTGTAAGATGAAGTTACACAAACCAAATTTTATACAGAGTGAAGGATACACAAACCTGTGTTGGCCCAACTGTTTATGTCTTCAACTGACGTGGCTTGAGTGTGTGTTTGTGGGTAAAAGCTGAGTACCTTGACAACATTTGTGGGATCAGAAGTGGTTTGCATTTCAGGTTTTATAATATTTACATAAATATATGCTATCTTAGGATGGGACCCAAATGAATTTCAGAGATAGCCTTGGGTCCCATCCTGAGATAGCATATATTTATGTAAATATTATAAAACCTGACTATCTCTGAAATTCATTTATTTTGTGTATACCTTATATACATGGTGTAAAGATGATTTTTATAGGATTTTTATAATTTTAATTTTCTACAAATGACCAACATGCCTATGTTTTGAATGTGACCCGCCAGCCAAGGTCAAGTGTGGGGTTTGACACATGTGACATCATGTGGACACTTGGGGTCTCAGACCTTAGAGCACTTCAGAGCTTAGATCTTGGGGTAGAAATGGTCTGTGTGTATATGAATGGCAGGTCAGAAAGAGGCCAGGCACTGAGTATCTGTCAGCCAGACCCCCTCTGAGGCTGAGCATCCCGTTACAGAGAATGTGCAGAGACACAGACACAAGGCTACATCTACCCGGTGACCTCAGTTCACCCCAGCCACCAGCTCAGCCACTTCAGATGCTGGTCATTTCACAATGGGAATTGATATCGCAGAACAAAAGTGTCCCATTTGGTCTATCGACAGCTTCCCCACAAACATCCCCGTGGGTCCTGTACGTTGAAGCCTCACCTTTCTTCCACTCTAGCAACTGTATGGCAGTGCCAGCTGTGGGGAGCCTGGGATTGGTGCAGGGCTTCCCACCCTCGATAGGATGGTGACCTCACAGATGCAAACAGTCTCCACAGCATACCTTCTGGAATCCTGTCAGGCTCTGAGCAGAGCAGTTATTTGGAACACGGTTTCCACTCTCTTCAGTTATTAGCTATGGAAGAAGAAGGTGAAATATTACTAGGTTGACCATACAATGTCTCTTTCATTATTGGAAGACTTGGGATAAAGGCACAACAGTCTGCCGGTGAGTAAGCCAGGGCAACAGGCATAAACCAGAACCACTCTGGACGTGTGTGTGTGTGTGTGTGTGTGTGTGTGTGTGTGTGTGTGTCTCTGTGTGTGTCTGTGTGTGTACACGTGTGAAACTGTGTGTGTCTATCTTTGTATGTGTGTCTCTATGTGTGTGCATGTGTGTGCCCACACGTGTTTGTGCCTCTGTGTGAGAGAGACTGTGTGTGCATGCGTGTGTGTGTGTGTGCATGTGTGAAACTGTGTGTCTGTCTTTGTATGTGTTTCTCTTTGTGTGTGTGTGTGTGTGAAAGTCCGCACATGTGTGTGTGAGACTCTGTGTGTGAGAGACTGTGTGCTTGTGTGTGTGTGTGTGTGTGTGTGTGTGAAAGAGAGAGAGAGAGAGAGAGAGTCTCTGTGTGTGTGTGTGTGTGTGTGTGTATGTATGTTTAAAGAACAGCACCTGGAAGTCAGGAAATGAGGCTACAGACCCCAGTTCTGCCAGAACAAAACAGGTCAACTTTCTCATTTCTCGGATGCTCCGTTTCCCCTGCTGTGACAAGAGAGACTAAATTAGATGGTTCTAAAGGTCACTTACAGGTTTCAAATCCTAACATAGCCAAGCTATAGAGATGAACAAGACCCAGGTCTTAGGCAGTTAAGACACAGGACCCAGGACAGAGTCCACTGGCGCTGCCCAGGCACAGAAAGCCCCGTTGGTCTCGGTTGTATCACCTTATCAGAACGTCTGGCAGCATGGCCCTTCTCGGCATCAGACAATAACCTCATTCACTTGTAGTGGAAAGTGCAGTTTCAGAAGATCCCTTTGCTCTGACTGTTATGACTCACTGTATCTGTAGCCCATGAGTTCGATAGTAGGTGGGCGGTTTTATAGAGAGGAGGCAACATAATCGATGATGCTGGCACTCACACCAGAGCCAGGACGCAGAAAGCATCTCCCGATGATTTGGACCAGCACATGACCATAAAATCAATCTATCTGGTTACATTCAGTTGTGGTGACTGCTTATTTTAAGGCTGTAGTTTCCAAACTCAGCTACTTTAACATCCCATGGAGCTAACTAAAAGGAAGAGATGTGTCCATGAACCCAGTGTGCTCATGCAGTTGACACTGGGCCCCTAAACGCTGTCAGTCTGGGCTGAAATCCCAGCGCTCTGCAGAGTGACGGTGTAGGACTGGTCAATCTGTAGGGAGAAGGAAGACGTTTCTCTGATGCTCTCCTTCCATCTCTCTGCCCTCTCTTATCATTTAAACTCCCCATTTCACTCTTTCCTGAGACAGTGGGAGGTCGAGGTCATTTTTAATCCCACCATTTGAGCACACACACCCCCGTCAACACATACACAGCCCATGCGCCCGGCTGATTGTTTCTGTGGTGGCCGGTGAAATGGAGAGGGAGGATGCTCTCGGGACAGCTTTTTGTCACAAGGTGCATGTGGAATTCTCAAGTCATGCTGAGAATTTCTACACATCAAAACGCTGTCTCATTTTCCCTAGCTGCTACCACATGGGAACAGCCAGGAACTTAGAGAACAGGCATCTCTTTGGGGGGAACAGAGTGACGTGCATTCTAATGTGGGAGTTTCATTTTGTGGTCTCTTTCTTGTGGGGAACCTTACTCCTTCCATCACTGCCAACCCAGATGCCCACGGACTGCTTTGGAATCATACACAACTTCAATGAGATAATTAAGAT